GTGACATCATGAGACATCGTGTGACATCGTGTAACATCGTGTGACATCGTGTGACATCGTGTGACATCGTGTGACATCATGAGACATCGTGTGACATCATGTGACATCATGTGACATCGTGTGACATCGTATGACATCATGGGACATCGTGTGACATCATGTGACATCATGTGACATCGTGTGACATCGGGTGTGACATCGTGTGACATCGTGTGACATCGTGTGACGTCGTGTGACATCATGTGACATCGTGTGACATCATGTGACATCGTGTGACATCATGTGACATCATGTGACATCGTGAGACATCGTGTGACATCATGTGACATCGTGTGACATCATGTGACATCGTGTGACATCATGTGACATCATGTGACATCGTGAGACATCGTGTGACATCATGTGACATCGTGAGACATCGTGTGACGTCGTGTGACATCATGTGACATCATGAGACATCGTGTGACATCGTGTGACATCGTGTGACATCGTGTGACATCATGAGACATCGTGTGACATCATGAGACATCATGTGACATCGTGTGACATCGTGTGACATCGTGTGACATCATGTGACATCATGTGACATCATGTGACATCGTGTGACATCGTGTGACATCGTGTGACATCGTGTGACATCGTGTGACATCATGAGACATCATGTGACATCGTGTGACATCGTGTGACATCATGTGACATCGTGTGACATCATGTGACATCATGTGACATCGTGTGACATCATGTGACATCATGTGACATCATGTGACATCGTGTGACATCGCGTGACATCATGTGACGTCGATTAGAGGAAGAGATCAGATATTAATCCTGCAGCATGCGAGTATCTGCATCCAGAGAAAATCTAGAGTGAAGTCGCTCTGACAGCAAACAGCTGCTGACACTCGACTCAAACTCACAGCCAAAGGACCTGCCAGAAATTACCCACAATCCTCTCTGTCCTGTCCAACATGCTGAAATCACCAGCTGGCCCTGAGAGTCTCACAGCCAGTGGGCTTCAGTCTGACTCTTTATCAAACACATCGTCTCAGAACATTATACCTTACACTGTGTACAAACAGCTGTTTATAAAGATGGACGTCTCTGCCTCCTCTGTTGTACAAAAGTGAAGCTAAAATACCTCCACGACAGGCGCTGAAGTCATTTGAAGCCGTCGGCTCTTTGCAGTCTTGACCTTCTCAGTGTTTAATTTTTCTGTCCCATTTGTTAATATGGAGGAGGCGGAGCTTATACTGCAGCCAGCCAGCAGGAGGAGCTGTAACAGTAAACACGTCCTCACCTCTTTGTCCGAGATGTACAGGTGATCTCCTCTCAGGATCACGTAGCGGCTCCTCCACAGCTCCCTGAAGATCCCACGGCCGCAGAACTTCCTGATCCAGCCCGCCTTCTCCGGCTGCTGGACGGGCTGATGGACCGACTCCTGAGCGCCCTGAAACACAAAACCAGCACTCACAGTCAAAAAGAGATCACCTGTACATCTTGGACAAAGAGGTGAGGACAGATCCTGACCCTCAGATCCTGACCCTCAGATCCTGACCCTCAGATGACCTCTGACCCTCAGATCCCCTAACATCCTGACCCTCAGATCCTGACCCTCAGATCCTGGCCTTAGATCCTGACCCTCAGATCCTACCCTCAGATCCTGGCCCTCAGATCCTGGCCCTCAGATCCTGGCCCTCAGATCCTGCCCTCAATCCTGGCCCTTAGATCCTGACCTTCAGATTCTGACCCTCAGATCCTGGCCCTTAGATCCTGACCCTCAGATCCTGACCCTCAGATCCTGGCCCTCAGATCCTGGCCCTCAGATCCTGGCCCTTAGATCCTGACCTTCAGATTCTGACCCTCAGATCCTGGCCCTTAGATCCTGACCCTCAGATCCTGACCCTCAGATCCTGGCCCTCAGATCCTGACCCTCAGATCCTGGCCCTCAGATCCTGGCCCTCAGATCCTGGCCCTCAGATCCTGACCCTCAGATCCTGACCCTCAGATGACCTCTGACCCTGTATTTGATGCTAAAGACTAAAATGTAAACTGATCTTCATCATTCAGGCTGACGTCTCAGAAACACCAGAATGAAATATTCCTCTGAACACTGAGCGCCATCTCACCCCGTCTGGTCATGGTTTGATATTATGATTATTATTATGATTATTATTATTATTATGATTATTATTATGATTATTATCATTATTATGATTATTATTATGATAATTATGATTATGATTATGATTATTATGATAATTATGATTATGATTGTTATGATAATTATGATTATTATTATGATTATGATTATTATGATTATTATAATTATTATGATAATTATGATTATGATTATTATTATCATTATTATAATCATTATTATGATTATTATTATGATAACTATGATTATTATTATGATTATTATTATTATTATGATTATTATTATTATGATTATGATTATTATGATTATTATTATTATTACTATTATTATTGCTATTATTATCATAATAATTATTATTATTGTTATTATTATTATATTTTGATTATAATTCTCATGTCTGAGTCTGATTCAGCTGCTGCTTCATGTTTACAGCCTTAATATGAAGATCATAAATCTGTGTGTGTGAGTGTGTGTGTGTGTGTGTGTGAGTGTGTGTGTGTGTGTGTGTGTGTGTGTGTGAGTGACATTAGAGCAGTAGGATTGTTCAGCTGTGAACTCATTTGCATATTTCTGCAGCACGAGGACTTTAACAATGATAGAATATAAACGTAGATATGATCACGTGATAATTCATCTTATGATTACTTTGATGTCGCCGACACAGAATAACAATCGATCTGATGAAGATGAAGATGAGGATGAGGATGAATGGATGGATAAAGGATAAAGGATAAAGGATAAAGGATGAAGGATGCTGATGATGAGGATGATGAAGGAGGGATTTTACCGCGCTCAGTAACGGAGATAAAAAACGGGATTCCCGCTCTTACCCGTCTGCTCGGGTTGCTCTTCTTCATCCTCCTCCTCGCTCCGGTCCGCCGCTCCGGGGCTCTCCTGCAGTCACACCGACGGGGAGGAGGTTCTGCCCGGCCAGGCGGAGAGGTTCGGCCCGGCCTCGGTCGCTCGGTGCCCGGTGGGTCCTGGTGTCGGTGAATCCGTTAGTCCGAGCGGCTTCTCCTCAGCTCCGCGTCTGTTGTCTGAAACACCGAGGCAGCATCCTCCCGGTGTGTGTGAGAGTGTGTGTGAGTGTGTGTGTGTGTGTGTGTGTGTGTGTTGGGAGGCAGATGCTCTCTCTCTCTCTCTCGCTCTTTCGCTCTCTTTGAACACGCGTTCACGCGCTCTGACACGCGGACGCGCACGGTATCCTACATTCCGTTAATGGAGCCCGACAGCGCCACCCAGCGGCTCAGAGACTCACCTGAAACTAAGAAAGGAGGATGAGGTCTAAAGTTTTATTATTTGTAAATTATAATAAATTAAAATAATTAAAAGACTCAGAGATGATCTTATTATCTTTATAAATCTAAAGACTTCATGTTTGGAGCGCTGAGACTAGCGGTTAAGTCCTGCCGTACATGTACAGAGGTTTTAGTCCTCGTCACAGTGGCTGTGGGTTCGAATCCGATCAGCCCGCTCACTTTCCTCCCAACAGCTGTCTGCTCTAATAAATAATAATATAATCATATTTTCAATGTAGAAATTGTAGAACTGTAGAAACATGGCATCGTGTTTATTAGAGTTCATATCACACTCTGTCAAACATCTCGCAGCCTGTCTGAGGTTAAGATCACATTAATAAATGCTGTGTCATGATCTGATATTAATAAATGCTGTGTCATGATCTGATATTGATAAACGCTGAGTCATGATCTAATATTAATAAACACTGAGTCATGATCTGATATTAATAAACAGAGTCATGATCTAATAATATTAATAAACGCTGTGTCATGATCTGATATTGATAAACGCTGTGTCATGATCTAATATTAATAAACACTGAGTCATGATCTGATATTAATAAACAGAGTCATGATCTAATAATATTAATAAACACTGAGTCATGATCTGATATTAATAAACAGAGTCATGATCTAATAATATTAATAAACGCTGTGTCATGATCTGATATTGATAAACGCTGTGTCATGATTTAATATTAATAAACGCTGAGTCATGATCTGATATTAATAAACGCTGAGTCATGATCTGATCACAGGAGAGCAGCATGAACAATGAGCTCGGCACATTCATGGATTTCAAACTGTTTGTATTCATAATCATCGACTTGTCTCCGATTTAAACTCAGAAAGTCTAAAGCTTAAAACTTGAGAGAGGATCAAATATTCAAATATTCAAGATGAATGATTTAAAAATCCTGAATATTAAGGAAATATAAAAACATAAATGGGCGGACATGACTCTGACTCAGATTGCTGAAGGTTATAATTCTGTTGATAAATGTTTGAGTATTGTCTCCTTTCTCACATATTCTGCAAAAAGTAAAAATCAAATGCAAACAAATATTAAAAGTTGACTTTGTTTAATTCAAAGAAACAAAAAGAAAACTTCAAATCATTTCTTTGTCTTCTTGTTTCAGGCGTCTTTCTCGTCGTCCTTTTTCTCCAGACAAAACTCTGCAGAGACACAAACAGGAGATGATGAAATGTTCCTGCAGGGGGCGCTGGAGTCCCATCGATGGCGTCCCCCGTCTGTCCCTGCAGGGGGCGCTGGAGTCCCATCGATGGCGGTCTCCATGCTGGAAATGCTGTCTCAGTCTAACTTTCAGTCAACCTAACGACAGGCTGAGAGCTGGAGCTGAGGCGGGTTTTAAACCTCCTGACAAACCGTTACACCACGCCCACCTGTCAATCAGGTCAGCTACACGCCTTATTGTGAATAACTCTTATCCTTCATCAAATCAAAACTGATGAGTCATCAAAACATTCACCCCCCGTACAGTGTGTGTCCATCCAGACATGAGCTAATCACACCTATTTGGTTTTTTGAACCAGGCTGTAAACATGTTCATCTCTGCTGTAAAAACAGGCTTTTTAGAATGGGTGTGTATGTGACTTCCTGTGCTTCTGCAGCCAGCCTCTAGTGGACACTCCAGGAACTGCAGGATTTTACACTTCAGTACTTGAAAGCATATAGCACAAAAACAAGTCGGCTTAAAAACACTTAATGTGCAGCTCAAACTTTTCTGTGGATACACAGAGCAGCCATGTTGGATTTTGATCTGGTGTTATTAAAGTTCTCTGAGTGACGACATCAGGGGGCGTTCCTGATCCAACCAGCAGCTTGGAATGTCTGACTTCTGACATCAACTGGAACGCACCATTATTTTAGCTTTCACTGAAACTGGTTGTAGCATCCAAGCTAACACTTACACAAAGACTCAGTGTGACCGTCGTCAAGATAGAAAACTGAGTGTTACAAGCATCTATGCTAACAATTTTGCTTCCATTTAAATGCAGTTTTACCAAAACATGTAGCTTCCACTAAAGGATTTCAGTAGCATCTGTTGACACTCTTTAAATGATGTCAGGATGTATGCTATATTTTAGCTTTGGTGGTAGTAGCATCTATTTCTGCTCATTAGCTTCCATTTAACAGGATATTAGGAAACCTCTGCTAAACAAATGCTAAGTGTTAGCATGCTGCTGCAGAAAAGGCTTTTGACCTTTGACCTTGTTTCTATTCTTGAACAAGATGATGAATCAGAAACATCTTTGTATGATCTCTGACCTGCCTTCCCATCATATTTGAAATGTGATGGGACCATGAACTTCAGACACTCGGCGATCTCTCTGTGGACGCTGCGAGCAGCTGTCAGCTCCTCCGTGTCCAGGTGTTTCCCTTCCTGCCCTGAGAGACAGAACAGGAGGTCATTATGAGCGTCGAGTCACTCCTGTTTAAAACATAACACATGCTGCTAAATCTTTCCTAACTTCACTTCCCCTAAAGAATATCGGACGACTAACTCACATCTCTATTCATCAGAACAGTCTTAGATAGCTCATTATAACCACCACATCATCATCAGCTGTTCAGTCATGCTCTGCTGTTGGTCTTACTGTAGATGAGCAGCATCCTCCCTGCTGTGCCCTCAAACACTCCGCTGTAGATAATGAGCAGACAGTGAGGACAGCTCTGGTACACATTTAATTTCCCCTCATCATCGTACGGAGACATTTCCCCATCGAAGTCCTGGAGCCCTGGAAATAACAAATGAACAGAAACAGAAACAGAAACACGAGTCAACAAGAGGTTCACTCAGAGCTACGGTCTGCTGCTTTTTTTAGATTCTCCATCACTCCTTCTAATGGTGACGCATCACTCCTTCTAATGGTGACGCATCACTCCTAATGGTGACTCATCACTCCTTCTAATGGTGACGCATCACTCCTTCTAATGGTGACGCATCACTCCTAATGGTGACTCATCACTCCTTCTAATGGTGACGCATCACTCCTTCTAATGGTGACGCATCACTCCTAATGGTGACTCATCACTCCTTCTAATGGTGACGCATCACTCCTTCTAATGGTGACGCATCACTCCTAATGGTGACTCATCACTCCTTCTAATGGTGACGCATCACTCCTTCTAAAGGTGACGCATCACTCCTTCTAAAGGTGACGCATCACTCCTTCTAAAGGTGACGCATCACTCCTTCTAATGGTGACGCATCACTCCTTCTAATGGTGACGCATCACTCCTTCTAATGGTGACGCATCACTCCTTCTAAAGGTGACGCATCACTCCTTCTAATGGTGACGCATCACTCCTTCTAATGGTGACGCATCACTCCTTCTAAAGGTGACGCATCACTCCTTCTAAAGGTGACTCATCACTCCTTCTAATGGTGACTCATCACTCCTTCTAAAGGTGACGCATCACTCCTTCTAAAGGTGACGCATCACTCCTTCTAAAGGTGACGCATCACTCCTTCTAAAGGTGACTCATCACTCCTTCTAAAGGTGACGCATCACTCCTTCTAAAGGTGACTCATCACTCCTTCTAAAGGTGACGCATCACTCCTTCTAAAGGTGACGCATCACTCCTTCTAATGGTGACGCATCACTCCTTCTAATGGTGACTCATCACTCCTTCTAAAGGTGACGCATCACTCCTTCTAAAGGTGACTCATCACTCCTTCTAAAGGTGACGCATCACTCCTTCTAAAGGTGACGCATCACTACTTCTAAAGGTGACGCATCACTCCTTCTAATGGTGACGCATCACTCCTTCTAAAGGTGACGCATCACTCCTTCTAAAGGTGACGCATCACTCCTTCTAGAGGTGACGCATCACTCCATCTAGAGGTGACTCATCACTCCTTCTAGAGGTGACTCATCACTTTTAAAGGTGACTCATCACTTTTAAAGGTGACTCATCACTCCATTTAAAGGTGACTCATCACTCCATTTAAAGGTGACTAATCACTCCTTCTAATGGTGACTCATCACTCCATCTAGAGGTGACTAATCACTCCTTCTAAAGGTGACGCATCACTCCATCTAGAGGTGACTCATCACTCCTAAAGGTGACTCATCACTCCATTTAAAGATGACTCATCACTCATAAAGGTGACTCATCACTCCATTTAAAGGTGACTCATCACTTTTAAAGGTGACTCATCACTTTTAAAGGTGACTCATCACTCCATTTAAAGGTGACTCATCACTCCATTTAAAGGTGACTCATCACTCCTTCTAAAGGTGACTCATCACTTCTTCTAAAGGTGACTCATCACTCCTAAAGGTGACTGCAAAGTTTACAAAGATGTTTGTCTGTGCCAAATATCCAAATCCTTTTACCATTACCCCTGATTCCTAACAAAGGAAACCCCTGACTCTGTTCTTAAAGGAGCCCTGACCCTTTTAGAACATGCTTCTACTTCCAAGCTGTTAATATGTTGAATCCTCTGAACCTCTTTTATTGTCTGACCAAAAAACTGAATCAACTTCGGACAATGAATTTTGCAATGTTTAAATTGTTTAGAAAAGTTTAGAACTCGTTAGTGAGACTCACCTGGACCGGCCAGCTGCAGGGTCAGGTTGGACGCCTCGGGGTCAGGAACTGACATGTTGACATAGAAGGTCAGACACTTGTCGTTCCTGGCAATCACACAAAGACCAGTTCAAAACGAAACCCAAACCTGGACTTGTGAGGAGATGTGAGGTCCCTTACACGATGTTTCTCTCCACAAACAGGAAGCTTTTGTTGTCGTTGTTGAGGCTCATCTCCACCAGGGAACTGTTGGCTCCTGACAGCAGCATCACTCCTGCTGGGTAATCTGTGAAGGCCTCCACCAGGACCCAGCTCGCCCCCTTTAGCTGCAGGATCAGACAGTTACTCCTGCTGGTCTAGAGCACAGGTTCAGGTTCTGATGTAACTTCTCACCTTGTGTACGTCTTCTCCCTTCACCTTCTCCGGCATCTTACAGTCCTCGGGTGCAGGCGCTGCGTTGGAACTCAGCACCAGCAGAACCAGCAGAACTACTCGAACCAGGACCGACATCTCAACTCGACTGAACCTCTCCGTGCTGTGAGATCCTGGAGCGTGTTCTCTTATAAAGGTCTCTGACTGAGCGGTCAGTCCAAAGTGTCTGTTTGTTTTCAACAGAGCTGGAAGCCGTCTAGACGGTCCAGACCCTGGACTCTGACCTGGGACTCCAGGACGTAGGAGGACCAAACCCCTGCTCCTTGTAGAGTTTGTTTTTGTATAAACTGAGAAAGAACACAAACCCTGAACATACACACAGTACCAGCACTGAGCACAAGGGGGAGCTTAATCTATCTGAGTCACAGTTTTAATAGGAAGCCTCACACACAAACAGTCCTCGCAGACTTTAACATGTTTTTCAGAATCTGAAGCTGACTCATCACAGCTGAACTTATAGAAACAGGTCAGAAGTCATGATGTTCACAACAGGAACAAAAACAGCTGATCTGAAGGTTGAAGTCTCCTTTCTGTGTTTACAGACGCTGCAGTTTGGACTTGTTGACTGAGCCCTGCAGGGGGTCCACACCGTCCTGACCTGGCTGCTCCTCGGCTCAGCTGGTCTTGTTTATGGTGATAAGAAGTCAATATTCAGACACTTGTTGTGATGATATATTTTAATTTAAAACATTAATGAGACATGAAACAACAAATCAACACATTAAAGACTTCAGATCTATGAACGTTCAGCGTCTGCTGCCCGGACGAACACTTCCTGCTGCTCTGTCGCTGCTCAGACCCGTTGATGACATCACTTCCTCCAAGAAACTGAGAGAGAGAGAGACAGAGAGACAGAGAGTTGGAGTCAAGGTCTTAATACACCGATATTTAAAAGTGGTGACAAAAGTGACCCTCAGAACTACAGAGGAATATGTTCGACCAGCTGTTTGGGCAAAGTGCTCTGCAGCATCATAAACTTCTTAAAAGAACACAACATCCTGCATAAAAGTCAGATTGGATTCATGCCTCACCATCGCACATCAGATCACATCTTCACCCTCAGCACTCTCATTAACCAACATGTACACCAAAAGAAAAAGAAAAAGGATCCTCGTTTTGTAGACTTCAGGAAGGCGTTTGACTCCATTTGGCATGAAGGACTGTTTTACAAATTACTAGAAAGTGGCATAGGGGGGAAAACCTATGATTTAATTAAAACCATGTATGTAAATAACACATGTGCAATTAACCCTCATGCTTTGTTCCTTTTTACTACCCTTTCAGTCTGTTAGTGGCCAAAAATGGCCACTAACAGACTGATTCAGTAATTTTTTAGATTTTCAGTGCATAACATCAGTGCTTGTCATGAATATATATATATATATATATATATATATATATATATATTCTCAATGCTACTGGTATTTCTTATATATATAGTAGCACAGTCTGAGATATGTAACTTATTAACAGCAACAGTGATTTCAATGCATTTTTATTTTTTGTGCAGTGACAGAAAAACATAAAAACTCCCTCTCAGCTTGTTTGTGGCCAAAAGTGGCCACCTCTTGTTTACATTTGCAAAATACTATAAAAATATTTTCTATTAAAGGATTTGTCCACTTTCACCACTTGATTTTTTTTTATTTGCTTCAGTCCTTGTCATGAAAACCAAAATGTCATTCAAATTCAGAATTTTAAAATTCTGGAATTTATTACATTTTTGACTTTCATGTTCAGCAAAGCAAAGCAAATTAAAAAAATCAAGTGGTGAAAGTGGACAAATCTTTCAATATATATATATATACATTCTATAGCATTTTCAGAATATAAACAAGAGGTGGTCACTTTTGGCCACGAACAAGCTGAGAGGTTTTTTCTGTTTTACTGTCACTGCACAAAAAATTAGTGATGCATAAAAATAATTGGTACTGCTAATTATTGACATACATTTAGCTGCAATGATGGTTAATCATTAATTATCAGGTAGCATGTATTATTTGGTAAAAAGTTGGGATTATACGCTTTTCTCCATTTTTACATCATTAGCATATTGTGATCTAACAGGCATTTAAAGGGTTAACCCTTTAAATACCAGTCAGATTACATATTACCACTAACTTTCGAGGGAAAAAAGAGAGAAAGTTGTAATTTTTTCACATAACATTGATGCAACCAATTTTTTTTTAATGATGATTGCAGGTCAGTAACAGTGACAAAGATTATATGTATATTTTGGCATTATTACTTATTTTGAGCAGTGACTAAAAAGACAGAAACTCCCACTTGGCGTGTTAGAGGCGAAAAACATTTTCTTTGTTTTTACAAAATGCTATAAAAATACCACATAAGATTATTTTCCACTATCAACAGTTGATTTTTTTAAAAGTGTGTTTCAATGAGTATTTGTGTGTACATGCGTGTGTGTGTGTATGCATTCTCAAGAGCGGCAGGATGTGCAAACCACTGTAGAGTGGTCCTTGCAGACACACTCAACAGCTGGAGCTAGTGGTTGCTGTTCAACAGAGAGGTAAACATGACTCTGTCCAAACCTTTTGAAATAAATCGCTGGCATCAAATTCAAAATGGGCATGAAATATTCCAAAAAACAATAATTGCTGTCAGTTTCAAGATTTTAGTTGCTTTCAGTGGGCAATTTTTTTCAAAGTGTTAGCCTACATTTTCAAAATCATTCTATTTACATTTTCCTCAATGTCTCAACTTTTATGGATTGTATCTGTGGCTGTCACAGTAAGTCTAATTATTGAGGGATTTGTTTGCTTGCCTGTTTATGGCTTCAGTTGTGGACTCTGTCTATGCACTTATTTCCCATGAGTGGAATCTTCCAAAAGATAAAGCTAATGAGCTAGTTGCAGAAAACTGTGGTTAACAACGCTGAAAATAATACACTGTGCTCCTTTCCCAAGCACTCTACCTGTAAGGTGTCCTAAACCAATAGTTTGCAATGTGTGTGTGTGTGTGTGTGTGTGTGTGTGTGTGTGTGTGTGGGGGTTCATGATAATACATTTCATTATTGATCATTGACTGGAGTTAAGCTCCACCAGTTATTTGTGCGACAACAATGATGTCACAGTTAACGGCCGGTAAGTGAGTGACTAGTGTCCGAAATGCTTTGAATGTTTGCTAAATAAGTGCATTTTATATATATATATATATTTATTTATATTTATATATTATCCACTACATATAACTCACTATATAGTGAGTAGGGAGTAGGGAAAGAGTGAGTGATTTGGGACACAACCCATTACTTATCGTACATGTCACGTAGCACATGAATACCTTCACCCATCTTGGGTAGAAGATGACTCTTCTTCTAGTGCAGAGGATTTCTCCCCATCTTCACTCTCTGAGCGTGTCACACAGTCAAGTGCTTGAAGCAGTGAATATGACCTTCTTGCCATCTTGCCAGAGCCAAAATGATCTGGGAGCTATTCGGCTTACTTAAAGAATTAGTGTTGACTGCACCTGCATGAACTCCAGGACAGGTTTCTAAACAGTGCCAGAGTTTGTTTTCTTTCCCCTGCAGCTGAACCTTTGACCTCTGCAACATGTCCTGGGATCTTTTTTATTTTGGAGAGTAGATATTTGGGTGTGTAAGGGCTATTGTGTAGATGTGTGTGGCATTTTTTATGAAAAGAAAAAAGCTAAAGATGCTTTCAACATGTGCATTAAAGACAAGTGTGCCTGGGAAACTCAAAGCTCAATAACCTGCATCAACAGAAATACATCATCATTTCTTTAACTCTATCTTGCTAATACATATTTGTGCTGCACACACAATTTGTTTTTCATGCACAGACACAAATCATTAACTGACATCCTTATGATCACACCTACGTCAAAATTGTGTAATTAATTTGCTCCATTGGAGTGCAGTAAGCTATCATACGCCCCTACTGGAAACTAAGAATATTACATGAAATTACTCCCTTTGCCAAAAATGAATAAATAACATAATCTGGTAAAAAAAAAGTGTTGAGTTTATAATAAAAGCCATTTTACCAAAATTGTATTATTTTATACTGTAAATAACAAGGAATGAAAACATGTGGTTTGAATGGGTGTCAATGGGCCAAAAGTGGCCACGATAGAGCCAAGAGGTAGTATTTGATGTATACAGTATATTTTTGATATATTGTATATATATATATATATATATATATATATATATATACACACATACATACATACATATATATATATATATATATTATATATATACACACACAAGTGCTGAAGTTGAAAATTTAAATATCAGGCAAAAGTCCAGACCCTTCAGAAATTTCAGACCAAATGCATTAACAAAGCTAAAATGGTTGAAAAAAAGAAAGTGAAGTGGCCACACATGGCCAGGATAGAGTCCAGAGGGTTAAAATAGGAAACAAAAGAACACATTATTTCCGGCAGTACCGTGGGGTGAAACAGGGCTGCAACATGAGTCCAACCCTCTTTAACATATGAACACATTCACAGAAGAAGTGCAGAAGTCCACAGCTCCTGGTGTGACCCTGCAGGACACAGAGGTCAAATGATGACCTGGTTCTCCTGTCTCCCTCCCCAGAGGGTTTACAGCAGAGCCTGGACATCCTCCACAAGTTCAGCCAAACATGGGCACTTACTGTCAATATGAACAAGACCAAAATAATGACCTTCCAAAGCAGATCCAACTCTCAGAGAAACACATTCACATTAGGAAACATAGAAATCCAGCACACCAAACAATACAAATATTTAGGCTTAGTCATCACTCCCACTGGACATGTTGGCATGGCTGTGAGTGAGCTGAAAGAGAGAGGAAGAAGGACTTTTTATGCCATCAAAAGAAAAATTCAGATTGACATTCCAATTAGGACCTGGCTCAAAATTCTCAATTCAATAATAGAGCCAATCATTTTATATGGTAGTGAAGTATGGGCCCATTAACCAACCAAGACTTCCCCAAATGGGAAAAACAGCCGCTGGACGCCCTGCATGCAGAGCTGTGTAGAAACATCCAGAGAGTCCACACACACACGGACAGTAATGGCCACAGCGTTGGACGAAGGCTTTGAGCTTGAAAGTGTTGTATGGCCGAGGTGTTAGCATGAGGTGTTAGCATGAGGTGTTAGCATGAGGTGTTAGCATGAGGTGTTAGCATGAGGTGTTAGCATGGCCGAGGTGTTAGCATGAGGTGTTAGCATGAGGTGTTAGCATGAGGTGTTAGCATGGCCGAGGTGTTAGCATGAGGTGTTAGCATGGCCGAGGTGTTAGCATGAGGTGTTAGCATGAGGTGTTAGCATGGCCGAGGTGTTAGCATGGCCGAGGTGTTAGCATGAGGTGTTAGCATGGCCGAGGTGTTAGCATGGCCGAGGTGTTAGCATGAGGTGTTAGCATGGCCGAGGTGTTAGCATGAGGTGTTAGCATGGCCGAGGTGTTAGCATGGCCGAGGTGTTAGCATGGCCGAGGTGTTAGCATGGCCCACACACATCCTGAGGGGGAACTGAGCTACCGTGTAGCAATGGCTAATGCTAAATGAGAAGCAGTAACTTCCTGTTGTCAACAGGTGGCGCTGTGACTAATCAAAAAATGTCAAACATGGACGTGTTCAGGACGGGTCCGGTATCATGGACGTGTTCAGGGCGGGTCCGGTATCATGGACGTGTTCAGGACGGGTCCAGTATCATGGACGTGTTCAGGGCGGGTCCGGTATCATGGACGTGTTCAGAAACGGGTCCGGTATCATGGACGTGTTCAGGACGGGTCCAGTATCATGGACGTGTTCAGGGCAGGTCCGGTATCATGGACGTGTTCAGGGCGGGTCCGGTATCATGGACGTGTTCAGGACGGGTCCAGTATCATGGACGTGTTCAGGACGGGTCCGGTATCATGGACGTGTTCAGGGCAGGTCCGGTATCATGGACGTGTTCAGGGCGGGTCCGGTATCATGGACGTGTTCAGGACGGGTCCGGTATCATGGACGTGTTCAGGGCGGGTCCGGTATCATGGACGTGTTCAGGGCGGGTCCGGTATCATGGACGTGTTCAGGGCGGGTCCGGTATCATGGACGTGTTCAGGACGGGTCCGGTATCATGGACGTGTTCAGGGCGGGTCCGGTATCATGGACGTGTTCAGGGCGGGTCCGGTATCATGGACGTGTTCAGGGCGGGTCCCGTATCATGGACGTGTTCAGGGCGGGTCCAGTATCATGGACGTGTTCAGGACGGGTCCAGTATCATGGACGTGTTCAGGGCGGGTCCAGTATCATGGACGTGTTCAGGACGGGTCCAGTATCATGGACGTGTTCAGGGGGGTCCAGTATCATGGACGTGTTCAGGCGGGTCCAGTATCATGGACGTGTTCAGGACGGGTCCCGTATCATGGACGTGTTCAGGACGGGTCCAGTGTCATGGACGTGTTCAGGGGAGGTCCAGTATCATGGACGTGTTCAGGACGGGTCCCGTATCATGGACGTGTTCAGGACGGGTCCGGTATCATGGACGTGTTCAGGACGGGTCCGGTATCATGGACGTGTTCAGGACGGGTCCAGTATCATGGACGTGTTCAGGACGGGTCCAGTATCATGGACGTGTTCAGGACGGGTCCAGTATCATGGACGTGTTCAGGGGAGGTCCAGTATCATGGACGTGTTCAGGACGGGTCCAGTATCATGGACGTGTTCAGGACGGGTCCCGTATCATGGACGTGTTCAGGACGGGTCCAGTGTCATGGACGTGTTCAGGGGAGGTCCAGTATCATGGACGTGTTCAGGGCGGGTCCAGTATCATGGACGTGTTCAGGGGAGGTCCAGTATCATGGACGTGTTCAGGACGGGTCCAGTATCATGGACGTGTTCAGGACGGGTCCAGTATCATGGACGTGTTCAGGACGGGTCCCGTATCATGGACGTGTTCAGGACGGGTCCAGTGTCATGGACGTGTTCAGGGGAGGTCCAGTATCATGGACGTGTTCAGGACGGGTCCCGTATCATGGACGTGTTCAGGACGGGTCCGTATCATGGACGTGTTCAGGACGGGTCCGGTATCATGGACGTGTTCAGGGCAGGTCCGGTATCATGGACGTGTTCAGGGCGGGTCCGGTATCATGGACGTGTTCAGGGCGGGTCCGGTATCATGGACGTGTTCAGGACGGGTCCGGTATCATGGACGTGTTCAGGGCAGGTCCGTATCATGGACGTGTTCAGGACGGGTCCGGTATCATGGACGTGTTCAGGGCGGGTCCAGTATCATGGACGTGTTCAGGACGGGTCCAGTATCATGGACGTGTTCAGGGCGGGTCCAGTATCATGGACGTGTTCAGGACGGGTCCGGTATCATGGACGTGTTCAGGGCGGGTCCAGTATCATGGACGTGTTCAGGGGAGGTCCAGTATCATGGACGTGTTCAGGACGGGTCCAGTATCATGGACGTGTTCAGGACGGGTCCAGTATCATGGACGTGTTCAGGGCAGGTCCGGTATCATGGACGTGTTCAGGGCAGGTCCGGTATCATGGACGTGTTCAGGGGAGGTCCAGTATCATGGACGTGTTCAGGGGAGGTCCAGTATCATGGACGTGTTCAGGGGAGGTCCGGTATCATGGACGTGTTCAGGGGAGGTCCAGTATCATGGACGTGTTCAGGGCAGGTCCGGTATCATGGACGTGTTCAGGGCGGGTCCGGTATCATGGACGTGTTCAGGGCGGGTCCGGTATCATGGACGTGTTCAGGGCGGGTCCGGTATCATGGACGTGTTCAGGGCGGGTCCAGTATCATGGACGTGTTCAGGACGGGTCCGGTATCATGGACGTGTTCAGGACGGGTCCAGTATCAAACGCACGCCACGGCCACGCCCTTTGATGAAATAGCGTGCGGAACACAACGAGATATGTTGAGTCTGTGTAGAACGCTCTGACACTGAGTTTGCGTCGATCGGATCAGCGCCCTCGGAGAAGTGCGTTCAAATAGGAAGGCTGAAATCAGCGATTTTGAGCATTTTTGTGAAGTTCATCTTTAATTCGTGGACTTCCTGTCGGGTCTTTTGAAACGCTGCCAGAGGATTTTTAGTCCGTCCCGACAAGCGAAACAATTTTCGTGAGTGTACGTGAAAAAAACCCTCTATGGGGAGGCCATTTTGAAACTTTCAAAGGGGCGCCACTGAGTGTGTCTCTGTGTGTGTGTGTGTGTGTGTGTGTCTCTGTGTGTGTGTGTGCCTCTGTCTCTGTGTGTGTGTGTGTGTGTGTGTCTCTCGTGTGTGTGTGTGTGTGTCTCTGTGTGTGTCTCTCTGTGTGTGTGTGTGTGTGTCTCTGTGTGTGTGTGTGCCTCTGTCTCTGTGTGTGTGTGTCTCTCTGTGTGTGTGTCTCTCTGTGTGTGTGTGTGTGTCTCTGTGTGTGTGTGTCTCTGTCTCTCTGTGTGTGTGTGTGTCTCTGTGTGTGTGTGTGTCTCTGTGTGTGTGTGTGTGTCTCTGTCTCTCTCTGTGTTGTTGTGTGTCTCTGTGTGTGTGTGTGCCTCTGTCTCTGTGTTGTGTGTGTGTGTCTGTGTGTGTGTGTGTGTGTGTCTCTGTGTGTGTGTGTGCCTCTGTCTCTGTGTGTGTGTGTCTCTGTCTCTCTGTGTGTGTGTGTCTCTGTGTGTGTGTGTGCCTCTGTCTCTGTGTGTGTGTGTGCCTCTGTCTCTCTGTGTGTGTGTGTCTCTGTGTGTGTGTGTGCCTCTGTCTCTGTGTGTGTGTGTGTGTGTGTGTCTCTCTGTGTGTGTGTCTCTCTGTGTGTGTGTGTGTGTCTCTGTGTGTGTGTGTGTCTCTGTGTGTGTGTGCCTCTGTCTCTGTGTGTGTGTGTGTGTGTGTGTCTCTCTGTGTGTGTGTCTCTCTGTGTGTGTGTGTGTGTCTCTGTGTGTGTGTGTGTCTCTGTGTGTGTGTGTGTGCCTCTGTCTCTGTGTGTGTGTGTGTGTCTCTGTGTGTGTGTGTGTGTCTCTGTGTGTGTGTGTGCCTCTGTCTCTCTGTGTGTGTGTGTGTCTCTGTGTGTGTGTGTGCCTCTGTCTCTGTGTGTGTGTGTGTGTCTCT